GCATAATTATGCATAATTATGCATAATGTTGCAAATTTAGATTATTCCCCAGGGGGCAATCGATGGTGGCTACGTATTCTTACATCATTTTTACCTATAGTTTGCAATTTTAGCCCATCAGGGTGTAAGGTGGCTGAGATATGGGAGGCCAGTCCGGAATTAAACTGGAAGTCCGGAATTAAACTGGAGGCTGTTATGTGTGTCTTGTTTGTGTGCTTGTGATTGTTTTGTGTGTGGGCCACAGCACCAGCCCCGCTGCCTGTGGCCCACGAGTATTGTATTTGTCTGCAATCCCAATAAATCAAATCAAAATCAATCAAATCAACAGGCATTGAAGGATTTGTGAACAAATTGAGCATATCAAATTGGCCAGACAGCACAAATTGGCCTAACTCAAAGTTAGGCTGGCGAAAAAAAAAAGGATACCAGGGTATAAAAAGAGAACCCGATAAAACGCCTACAACATAAAAAAAACAGACCGAAGCCTAAATCTCTGCTTGGGCACAGGAAACACCCCAGGGACAGGAAACAGGCACTTCAGCATGCTGAGATGAAGAGAAGACGTAACCCTTGGTAACGGAAGTAGAACACAGCATGTGTTCTTTTGAATTTTCATCTATCCTGTTCTTGTTCATTTATTGCGGCATAAAAACTCATAGGGAGTAGGATGAAAGAATGACGTGAAGACAACTCAGTGTGACTTCCTAACATGTAGGTGCATCAAAAGACAGAGGACGAACTCTAGAGTACCCCCTACTTCTTTCTATTTATTATAACAGTTACTGTAGAGCTACGTACCTACATGTAAAAGTAGCATCAGGTACATTGTACCAGTACAGAGGTTTTGGTACAGGTCCGGCTCTTTGCCTGTGCCCTGAAAAGTCAGTCTATTAATTTGTAAAGAAGACCAGAGTGACTGGTCAAAAGCTCATGAAATTACTGGACGGGTATCTCTTGTATTTAAACAAAAGCTTTTAAATTACCTTTAAACATAATTTTATAACTACCAAAATTGAATGCAGATGAACCTTTATGATAGTATGAAAATAGACATGACACATACAGTTACTGTACTACTACATAATTATGTACATTAGTATCAGGTTAACTTGAATTAATCTTCTCTTCTAGACAAATGTTAGCCTCCATAGCATGCCAAAAACTGAGGGTCTTCAGGGTCTTTTGGAGCTTTTATGTGCTATTTTCTGATTGCATATAGACAACATAGCCGGCCTGGTTGAATTTCCCCCGTTTTAGAACTGGGCTAATCAGAAAACAGCCGAAGACCACCAAACCGCCAGTTCTATAAGCCTGCTACGGAGGCTAAACAAATGCAATGATCAGTGCTCCACAATTAAGAGATAGGCTTAATTGGGTGAAAAATTAACGATGATGCAGATGACTTGTTAATTACAACGAGAAAAATGTTCACACAGGAAGTAATTAATAAGATCCTGCAGGATTTCCTAAGTCGTTACGACTCCACGACTAATTAATTAGGCAATAATTAATGACAGACTGTCAAATACTGATAATTTTCGAAATACAGGGAGTATCAGCGAAACACCCCAACAGCCTTGTACCATTCCTGTAGTACGCCATACTAAAAGAGCGTCCAAATAATGGATTGCATCACCTAATGTTGGGACACTGCGTGGCTGGCCGGTGAAGTTGTTGAGACTCTAACCTGCAGGGGTATTGACATCTGCTGTCCCCAAGAACCACAGGACAGAGCCAAATGGTGAGCTACCATCAAGCCCCAGCATCAGTGTGCAAGCATGTCTAACCCTCGGAACACAGGGAACAACAGACGTTAAACCAGAGAGAGAGAGACATTCTATGCTCTCATGAAAAGTGTTCTTTACTTTCCAGCATTGAAAAATGTAGTGTGCTTCTGATACCTTAACATGGTGACATAAATCCATAATCTGAAATCAACTAATTGTCAGTGTAGTTAATATTAGTGTTAGAAAATAATTGGTTTTAATTAGGCAATAATTCTATTTTCTAATGACTGCCGACAATTACAGTAGGAAGATATCAGGTTGTGCAAAGGTACTGCACATGGAAAACATAGTTTCATTGCCTTAGCTTAGTATGTACCATTATGCTGTTATATTCTCATTGAAAAATAATATATGGGTTAATAGAATTCAATGATGTCATCCAATTACGTCCAAAAATCATATTTAGAATTGTTTTGAAGAGTCAAAATGGCAAATTAGGCAGTGACGAAGCCTTCAGTCTATTTTTGCAAAAAATAATAAGTCCCTAGAGACTTACAAGGACGCAATCGTGATGAGCAATCCGGACATCACCGGATAGACGGCAGAAATAGAATGAAAACCACACCCTAACCTAGTTCAAGCTCCAGTAAACAAAATACTAGTATACTGGATATAACGCTTCACTACAGGAGCTTTGAGACTGTGCAGAAATAGAATCTAAACCACACCCTAACCTAGTTAAAGCTTCAGTGAGCAATATATACAGAAACACACAACTACATGTAGGAACAGGTAAATACATGTATGCCAAAAACAGTTACTCAAGCAACTGGATATGATTTTGAAAACGGTCAGACGTTTCAGGTAACTACAATGTAAGTGTCTACCTTTTGTCAGTGTCTTTGGCTTAATCTTATTATCTGGATGTCTAAACTTCACCGACATAAATACATGTACATGACGTACATGTAGTTTACAAGAACTGTTTTAGGAGAAATCTTTGGAAAAAATTGGAAATGGTCCCGTCTTATACATCGTAAGTATAATTTTGTTTGCATACATACTCAAAACAGCAGTTTAGTACATGACATTGTATTTCGATTTATCAACTTAAAAGATACTGATTCAGAAGGATAAATTCACACCCTGTCTTGTTCCTTCAAGCATAAGTCCCATGCTATTTTTACTTGTCTGACTTAACGTTTTGTGCACCAGACTTAAAATAAACTGTCTAGGATTGCTTATGATGTTTAAATGCTGTGCTTTTGAAGAAAGTAGCATTGAGTGATGACTGTTTGAAATTTATGCTTTTTCAAGTGTTAACCTTCAAGGTATGGTGTACTACATGTACTAACCATATTTGCTGCGTTACTATGTTTCAATTGTAATTTTTAAATCTCAGATATTCTCCTAAGTTTTCTGTATTTTAGGTTTATGGCAAACAGACAAAACTATTGACTGGTGATGTACATACTAGTATGCTATTAGCTGATAGAGAGAAGATGGCAGTAATACTATCAACAGTATCCACTTCTGAAATTATTTGAAAGTCTTCTGATTCAATTCTGCTCTCTCAAAGTTCAACGATGCTTCTGCCACATGCTTATGTATGTACACTACGCATTTCCCATTAAATCAGCAACACTTAGCTTTAAACTTAACAGTATGGCATCAATATGGAGGAGACTACTAGCATGTCAAAATGATCTCACTTCCAAACCACTCTAGATCTGGGCGTTAAATGGATCCATTAGACCTCATTTTGTTTTTCCTCGAAAGTACTCACAAACTCTGGCAAGACTTTTTACACAGCTCAAGGCTAACCCACAAGAAAACTGTCTCTATAATGTGTAATGTATGACTTCTATGGTCTTCTAAAGTTCTTAATTGGCCAAAAGAGGCTACATTAGTTCCCATTTCCTTTTCCCAACGAAATACTCCGAAATTCTGACCAAACACCCCAGGGCCTGTAAACTCTAAATTATTGTTTGTCATCACAGAAGTTTGAAGAGGGGCAAATCTAACTTTATACCTTTTGGTGCGTGTTTTCTCCTATAGCTTAAAAACAGTTATGGAAAACTTAAACTGTTCTCCAACTCAAAATTTGACTCACCAGAAATTTTTGACTGAATCACTCAGTCTTCCTCAATTAGGGCACTTCAACCATCGCTCAACCGGGACGGGGGGCAATATCGACTTCAGACAACCTTTGACCATTTGCTGACATCACACGTGGGAAAAGTCACTTGTCCACAGCATTTGGGTCAGATAGCTGAGGAAGACTGAGTGATTCAGTCGAAAATTTCTGGTGAGTCAAATTTTGAGTTGGAGAACAGTTTAAGTTTTTCATAATGTAATTTACCAACTCGGATAAACTTTCATGCTGATGTTAAAAACAGTTAGTCACTGATGGAAAGTAGTGAATAAATAAATGCTACTTGAAGCATCTGAACAATATGCTTCATCCTCGGTCAAAGTTGGCCACGATACCTTAAGTATATATTACGTACCTACTTGTTTTTGAGATCAACCTCTTTCCACCTCTAGAAAGCTGTATGAAAGTCCAATACATTTCTAAAATAGAAATCTACTCTAGTTAATAAGTTCGTCAGAGGACTAGGACTCCTGGAGATTTGACGTAATATGCAGCTTCCTGATGTAAAATTATAGGTGTAAAGAGCCATTGGAAAATCATCAATATGAAAGTACCCTTCGGCGCAGACTAGTGATCATTGATGATTCTGCAAGTGGTCCTGTTTGAATTCACTCCGACATAATTACTGTATACATTTATAATAACTATATACCAAAAACATGTACAGGTATAGTGACTTACACAAATCAGAGGCTGTATACATGTACATACACAGTGACACACCTCTCACAATTAAGCCATGCAAACTTTAAAGTTTATTTCTTCTTGGAAATCCAAGTGACTGTGGTTATGAATTTGAATCCTTTGCTGATTATGAATTTTTCTTTAATGAAAAGCAGTTAATGTATCTGTGTGGGATGAATTACTAAAAATTTATCAACTAATGAAGGGTTTGAAGAGGCTCTTAATTGGAGTGTTTTAAAATTGCCATTAATGTTTCTTGATATTTCCTCATTTGGTCAATATTTACAACATGCTTTTGACGTTCCCAAACTTTTCTCTTCAGATCTATACATGTACGTAAGAAACAGACCGGGAAAAACGTCATCTCGTACACAGTCACTCCTCCAAACATAGCCTCCAGAGCTTTACACTCATACGTATTGCTGTCATGCCTTGTTGGGTGTTCCTCTTTGATTCAATCAAGTGGATAACTCTGACGTACAACTGCCCACACGGGGGTAGAAGTAGGTAATTACGCATAAAGAGCCTCCAATCAAGGCTGTCAGCCAATCCAGAACCATCTCTCTGGACCCACGCTGCATTAGAAAGCCAGGACAAGCCTTGTGGGGTGTATTTAAGACTGGACAAGTTTCTACCGCGCAGTGCATTGAAGCAGAGAGGACTGAGAGAGAGAGAGATGGCTAGGAGACTCTTGCAGTGCGAAGTGTGCACACTGTTTCTACTCACCACCGCATTGACAGTTCTGGGTCTTCCTACCACCCGACAAAGGGTAAGTAACTGTTCTACAACACTGTTTCTTTGAACAATATTTTTAAAAAAAATTTATGATTGTGTATCCCATAAGATGATTTTTATAAGGACTTAAGACAAAGGGTAAGTCCTACAATGTTGTTTCTTTGAACAATATTTCAAAACGAATTTTATGATTGTGTGTGTATCCCAATCTGATGATTTTCAAGGACTCAAGTCTGTTTTTTTTAAGTCCTACAACATTGTTTTTTAGCAGACAGAGTATTTCAAAAAGAATTTTATGATTGTGTGTGTATCCCATAAGATAATTTTTATAAGGACTCAATCCTTGTTCTTCAAGGTAAGTCCTGCAATGTTGCTCTCTCAAACAATATTTCAAAAAGAATTTTATGATTATGTATCCCATAAAATAATTTTCATAAGGACTTTGTCCTTTAAAAAATAAGCTTAGTCCTACATCGCTGTTTCCTTGAACAATATTTCAAAAGGAATTCTATAATTGTCTATCCCAAGATCTTTCAAGGACCAGAGTCTTTGTTCTTTAAGCTTTGCCAGATATACATGTATCAATTGAATACTCTGAGTCGACTTTTAATGTTTTTTCTATATTGCCACTCAAGGTTTGGCAATGTTAGGGACTAAAATGTGCTCCAAATTACACCTGGTCCAAGGAATAAGTTAACCAGCCACTCAGTGTATGTCTGTGAAACTGGTGCGTTATGCCATAGGGCAGTTATACGGGCTATAGAGAACAGACACAGATACAAATCAACATGAAATGGTTTATAGCTGCAAAGATTGCTTAGCATGATTGTGGTGGTTTTCTTTTAACCATATGTTACCAGAATACCATGCTAGAATTGCTGCTTTTGCCTTAAGGCCTTGTAACATTGGGCCCATGTTTTATATTTTGACACCCACAATTCCGGAATGGCACTTATTTGCTATATATAGTAACTTAAAAGTCATGCACTTTATAAAGAAAGACCAGAGAATCTACTTTTTGTGTCATCCGAGTGTTACATGATTGTACATAAGCAAGCAATTTTTATGGATGACATCAGCACGCATTTTTGCCTGATTTTGATAAGAAAAATATTGTTGCCTTCTGACAGTGGTCAACATGTCGAAAATGGGCAAATATGTCTGTTGCCATCCAAAACGTGGAGGGCAGATAAATAATGAAGATAGGAGACAAGACAAGGCTCTGATTTATTGACTTTGTATTTAGCTTTGATGTAGTGATGGTGGCTGACACTGTAAATGTAATGTTCGCATTGAATCAAAACCATTGGTACAATCATTTTTGATTGAAAAACTTATTTTTCAAAGTTGTTTCAGTGACAAACAGATGTTGTAATACTTGGCAGTGAACTTACCACAAAGGACATTGTAGGTACTTCTTGTTTAACAATAACAAGGTTTATGATATAAAAATTTGAAAAATGTCACTATTAGGAATCTTGTTTTTTTTTGGCCCTTCATGGTTTTCTTTGAATCGCATTAGATTTGGAGTCTTAGGAGGATGATTGTCATCCACAAAATTTACTTGCTGTGGCCTAATGCAGTTTTAACAACCAGAAAATAGTTCTTGGCATGATGCTTCACCCTGGCATTTTGTTAACAGTTTCTATATTTCTATGGGCTATGACGTACAAAAGAACCTTCAGTCTATAACTTTATCAAAATTCAATTTGTCGTCCTTCTCGGTCTAACGTACCAGAAACTAACCAGTACTGAATTGTATTAATGTTTCTGTACGTCAGGATTTCATCACGTTTCCTAATAAAAGAGGCCAAGGATATTTTGTTATTCTCAGCATTTAAAGTTGAAGGACTTTGGGGTGAACTACAAAATGAAGAGATTTATATTCCAATTTTCCATATGTTGATGTTATTTTCAAGCTTAAAGTTTATTTGTAGATTTTGTACATCATGCAGAGTCTGGACATTTTTCGTCTGTCTTGCAGTGGCATGTGTTAGATTTCTCCTCATTTCTGTGACAGTAGCACTCCTTTCACAGTTCATTTATACTCTTTTTTTTTACTCTAGTTGGGCATGCCCACAGATTACATTTGATCACTCCCAATGTCTGTTTAGCCTTAGTTGTGATAGTTCATTACCTTGCCAAGAAGGTTATGTTTTCAGTTGTGTTTGTCTGTCTGTCTGTGAAAAGCATAACTCAGGAAGCTATGGATGGATTGTCATGAAACTTGGTAGGTGGGTAGGTCTTGATGAGATCTAGAAATGATTAGATTTTGGCCCCCCACCCCGACGGCTTTTGTTGGTACTGCAGCAGCAAACCTGTTTTGATATCTCATGATCTGGACATGCTAGGGTCACGAATTTTGCATGGAAGGTAGCTCTTGGGCTAGGGAGGAAGAGACATTAGGTTCGGCCCTCTAGTTTATACTCCTTTCATTTACACTTCTTAATGACCTGGCCCGCTGTGTGGACGTTTATTTCCCAACAGCAGAACCACTGGCTCCTGAGACCAGACCTGCAACAACACACACACATACACACACACGCACACACACAGACACACACACACAGACACACACAGTCACACACACACACACACACACACACGCACACACACACACACACACACACACACAGGCACGCACAGACACACACACACATACACAAACACACACACACACACAGACACACACACACACACACATACATGCACACACACGCACAGACACACACACACGCACAGACAAACACACAAACACACAGA